GCCTCGGGAGTAGCAAAACCTGGGGTTCGGTATAGCCGGCAGATGACACCTAATGAACCAGAAATGGTCATTCTGGTTTTCTCTGTATTTGTTGATAATGTAATTCTGCTATATGGTCTCTGGCTGCGTTCAAAAGTGTTCCGCGACGCACAACCGACGACGATGCCCCTTAATGTTGATGCAGAAGTGTGAACTGTTCTATTAGAAACTAGGTCTGCCTACTTCACTAAGGGCATTTTTCTTCATCCACCGTGACTAAAACCTCTGGTTGTCCTTTTTCCATCACGGGCTCAACCGAAATTGCATTGACACGCGGTGGATTACCCGGACAAATGCATGTTACACGTGCGTATCTGTGATTTCCGAGATATCGTAACGGATCCATAGGCAGTAACAGGATGTTTTGATTTTTAAGGCGTTGCTGATTCAGCCGACAGTGATTGGCAGTGTCTTCTTACTGTGCACTCATGTCTTTGAAACTCCATCGTCCTCCCTTTCCCTGCCGTCTATCTTGAAGATGGAACCAGTACAATCATGCTCCTAACATATCGTCCGCTGTTTTCTAAACTTCGGTTGCTGACTGCTTAGCATATTTTCTTGTTGGCGTCTAGGCAGCTATAGTACGAATATCTGTCCTCTTTTTCAGAGCTATACGGAACTTTGTTGTCGCCAGTCCCATGAACAAGCACCTCGTACTGAACAATGAACTCCTACGGACGAGGTACGTCACGGACATTTTTACTACTGCTACCCACAAGTCCATAGACAAGGCAATGCCCTATTAAGTCTGATTCTTTGATTCCTTCCTCATCTATCTTTGTAAAGAATCATGTCTTCTACGGCATTCTTCGCGCCAAATTCGGATAAGCCGGTTAGCTTGAAACGCGAACTTCTGAGTCTTTACTCCAGCTTCCTCCGTGATACATCTCGCTTTGGAGAAGAGATGCTGGGACAAACAGAATTCCTGCAGAACCTGCTTCAATTGGGTGGGTGCCCGCTCTCCGGGGCTGCCATTGGCTTATTTTAAAATGCTCAATGTATATCGTTTTCAGTTTTCACTGTAAAAGTTTGTGCTGACCACTGCTTCTGTTCTGCTGACCATACATCTTGTTATCACCCTGGTTGCTTAAGCTGACGACTTACTTGATCGTCACCAAATGCTTCCACCGAGGATTGTACTTGTGTGTCTTCCTCCTGCTGATTTTAAAGTTGCGAGTATCGCCATAAACGCCGAACAGACGACTCTCGCCGCCGAGCAACAAAATATTACCAGGCGTATTCCATTCTGCCATTTCTCTCGGCTGGGAGCGCCGTGTGCGACTCATCCCGACAAAGGAGCGTTCGGTGAAATAGATATACGCTATTTTAGCCTATCAGGTTGGCAGACGCGTGACCAATCCAGTGTTCCACATGCTCCGTGTTAGGAGGGACCTAACGGCTAG